ACAGGCAGGCAGCCAGGCAGGGGACGAATCAGCGACGACATCGAATGAGGACCCATCGCTGGATGATCAACAAGTTGCGAACTCATCAACCCTTCTCATCTTATTGTCATCATTCGCTTCGAAAAGGGGGCAGGAAGACGGGGAGGGGTAACGGAAGACAACAAAAGAGTTGACTTGCGCGGCGGCATACTCCTCCTGCGTTAAGCGATGCTAGAGGTGGCCCTTCTGTGCCGAGAGCTAACGGCGTTTGTTCCCAAATAGGTAATGAGTACCCGACACTGGGGGTTGCGAACACCAAGGCGTGCACGAAAGGGCTGGGGGCTTATCGGTCAAGCCCAGAACCAAGAATAGTGTTCGCAAAAAGGGCGGCCATGATTTGTCAAGAACAAACAATCGCTTCGTTGGCTCTCGTCAGATGCACGTACCGTACTTGAGAGGGCGGGAACCTTGTGTGTCGCGAGTCGTGTTCTCAGATATACGATAAGGTGGACGAATCACCTCTGCATTCCGGCAGGGCCTCACCCTCACCAGTGAGCAACAGGTCTGCGTACTGAATATGAACCTCGGGTATCGAACCGGAAACATCGTCATCGTCCGGGCCTTCACTCGAGGGGTGGAGGTGGACGTCAAAGTGACATGCATGCAAGGCTGTCAGCTCTCCGTGTGCTGCCCATCGCGCAGTCCATGTCCATGTGGCAGGACTCTGTTTGCTACACAGACGAGGTTGGCCGTGGCGGGCGGGCAGACATGTTCCTTCCCTTTCCATTCCTCTGGCGACAAGGGCTTCAAACAGAGCTTGGAGCTTCTCCCCACACCCTCATTGCCTATGTCCCTTTTTTGTCGTGCGCGTTTATTGCAATGTACTCTCTGTTGGTTTTGATTGCAGAGAGTGCTGTCCTAGCGCAGGGGCAGATTTGACAAAGGTTCCCTTGGCGGCAAGGGCAATGGCCGCTCGTCTTGTCATCGAGCTTGAGTTGCCTGCCTGGCAGGCATCTCCTGCGGGAGAAAACCCAACGCTTTCAAGGCCTTGATTCCGGCATTCAAGGATAGAGCCGACGGACGCCCTTACCAGTGTTTCGCTTGATCTGCAGTCGGACTTGGCCCTTTCCCTCTTGCTCTGGCCAATGCCACCATCGCCACATCTCATCCCAAAGTCCTCGTCGACCCAAGCGAGAGAGCACTCGTTTTCCATCATGCACCTGTGGGGTGTGTGGTATTAATCAGGTCAATTACCATGAATATTATCGGCGGCTTATGAAGCCAACCGTTCGGACCGCCTAAACTGACAAAGCAGTTCTAAGTTTAGAACGCAGTAATTTCCGAAGCCAAGTTTTTATCGAGCCAGAGGCTAGACCGCAAATCCAATACCCGAACCAAAAGTCGCAAGGTTATCCGCCTCGCCAAGCTCTCGGCTTCCTCTGAAAGGAGCGCGGCTCGGCTGGCATTTGTGGAAGGGGAAGAGCACAATGTATTTGATCAACACCAAAATATCGAGAAGTGTTCGGGTGCGTCTCCTTTTTTCCCCTATTCTCTTCGGAGGCTCTTCTCAGCCTTCTTCGCTCCTATACATATGGATATATCTCCGTCTCTTGCACCGAACCCCAGCCTAGAGGTCTCGTCACATCCGTTCAGTCAACTCTAGAGGTTGGCTTGAAAACTCTAGGCTCGGTAGTACAGTGACATCCGCTGATGCTTAAAATATCGTCCCGTGCACCTTGATAGTGTCCCCACTACATCAATACTGGTACAATATTTGAGATGTCATCCCCCAAAAGGACCTCGTCCTCAAACCACTTTCGAGGTGGATATACATGTACATCATCAATAGATGTGCTGGTGCTCGTGCTCGTGCACGGGTGTATACATCATTCGGCAACTTGGAAGTCACAACGCGGCGAGGTAAAATTTCGGGACGATTAGCAGCAGGCCAATTCTCGTGGAATGCAGATCGTCCTAGTTGCCAACAAGTAAATCGTCAAGTGGCCATTACTGAGGTACGACTGCATGAACGAGGTTGACGCCAACCTTGATTCATCCACACAGCTCAACGACCCGCGACATCCGTGCATTGGGGATCGAGCCATCGGCTCGGGCTCTGTGCATCAAGTATTATGTCGTCGGGTCCGGAAGTATTGAAGACTAACAGCCTCATCTCCCTATCCCCTGCGAAGTGAGCGAAATAAAAACGTATCCCAGGTCTGTGGCGTCATGGTGTTTGGGGAAGAGAAATTTGGGGAGGGGGCCGGGGTGAGCAAATTCTAGCGCTGGTGCAAGCTGTTCCCCGCCTCCCTTGCCCAATATCCTCAAGGCATCAGGGCTGCCATCGTATTCCACCCAACCCTGGCGAACAGACAAACGGTCATATGTCGGTGGAATCAACAGTCAAGGGCCCCTCAAAAGCCCAGACTGGCCTTAATCTCCGCCGGCTCTGGGTGCCACCAAAGCATCACTAGAAATCGACGTGGATTCCCCCTCTTCACCCTTCACCCTAGCGCGGAGTGTCGGTGCCTCGGGAAATCCAAGGCCTTGGCGCCAGAACAAGCAGAGGGGAAAAACAGGTTGATCCGAACCGACCCTGAACGTACAAGTAATACACTAGCGCCCCTCCGATGAGGGATGGGTCCCTTCTGGAATCTCCAGGTCTTAACTCCGTTTTTCCCGAAACAAGCCTTGCTTGGTTCCAACTCAGCCCTGCTGCCAGGGAAGCGGGATGGACAGAAACGGAAATTGCTCTGTTTCGTAGGCAAATGTTTCATGCACACGAGCCTGCACCCGGGATGCACAATGACTTCTCTCTCCCCCTCCGCCTCCCTCCGCCTCGCCGCTTGCGGACATCCACACCCGCCCCGCTGAGGAGTTGGGGATTCTTCTTTTCCCCCAAGGAGAGGGGACATGCGAATGAGAAGGAAGTGACCTCGAGATGACGTGAATAAATGATAAAAAACAATTACATGGACGGAGGTGTGTCACGAAACGAAATGCTGGCTTCAAACAGCCTAGTCGTTACATTGGCATCCTTTCATCGCCATTCTCGGTGGAGAGGAGCATGACAAATGGCAGAGCTAAGATGCTAGGCCGGGGGCACCAGCTGACGGCTTTTTCTCGAGGCAAGCGAGGGGCGCGCGAGGGATTTGCGCTTCCGATGCACACCCCTCCCCACCTCCTCAAGGCGAGAGATGAAGTGTGGTAGGATCGATGGTGACGAGGCGACGCAGCCTTACTCTGTTCGCCCCAGATACCTCTTTGAATGCGTCCGTAAACCTCAGCAAGCTTTCCTCCTGATATGACAAGGAGATATGGCCACTTTAACCTACGCGTCACCTATATGTAGGGCTACACGTGATGGAGAGTGAAAAAGGCTCGGGCCCGGGCCTAGTTTGATATAGACGCAAAAGACTGGCCTTCACAATCTATGATTGCGCACACATGACTCCCTGCATTGATAGCAAGGGATATTGGTCGAGCGAGGCGAGGAAAAAGAAGACCCGGGGCCCTTCGCAGGCTAGGACAGCTAGTGGACGACCAAGGAACACCTGACTACTCGTTCCGCCGCGAACGATAGCGGTTGGCCGCCCGCATCCCAGCTTATAAAAGATTCCCAGCGCGCATCATCCGGCCCCGTCCCGTGTCCACGGTAGATGGCGCGGGGATGCGGGTCGGACATCTCGCCGAGGGGGTTGGATAGAGAGGGGTGGGGGTGGTTCGTCGGCCGACGTACATACAGCTGGTTACAGCGTGACTTCGCTGTCACCCCAAAATTCCCACGACCACAGCTCAGAGCGAGGCGGGCTGTGGGCAATCTATCTGTGTTCGGACGGGAATGTATAGTAGTACTATACCTGAACGAAGGAGCTGCGCCTTGGTCCCCGCCCGGCGACGACGGGAAGGGCAGGCAGAAGTGGAGGAATTTGTCACATGCCGCATGTTGCAAAAGTGCCCACGACATTGAACTTTGTCTCCGGGTTTTATTTTTATTTTTCATCTTCTTTGATATCTCATTCGGACACTCGGATGCCTAGTTCGTTCATCATCTCCGCTTTCGAGCAACAGTGTGGCGCAGGCCCACGCCCATCATTGCCGAAGACATTGGTTTGACGAAAAATCGAGCGAGGAGAAAGAACGGCACGGGCCAAAATTTCATACTCAAATATCGTTGCAGACACAAACATAGGCGATGGCGGAGGTCGTCTAGTCAGTTTTACTTAGCCCCTCTTCTTAACCCGGGCGAATTCGGTCAAGTCTCGCGAAGTCGCGTCTTCTACATGTGATATTTGCCCTCCCGTCTGCACCTAAAGTTTCATATCCGGGCGGATATGAAATATGTCCTCACGACCTCTAACTCGAAGTTGAAGGGCGATGTAGTGGGGGTAGCATCCAAGGACGGCCTCTTCGATCCCTCAATGTTCTTACGCAGATCAATTACGGTCGGGGATCAATTGCCTCCCAGGCGATGTCTTCAGATTTAGAATGCGGGGAAGGGTTCATTCCCTCCAATGTGACATATGTTGGTCATTATGTATTACAATAGATGTATTGTTGATTGATAATAATTGAATCTCGATGAGTTAGGGATTTATCGCCGTGTCTGGGTTTCGCTCACCAGTCGGAATACGATATTCGCACTGTTTTCTATTCCAGCGCGCCTAAAGTTAGGCGCCCCATGCGCCAACAGTTGCTCGATTTGTTGGTTAAACGCGCTCGTTCCTCACGCTCTAGCGGACACTGTAGACCAGGATTGCAAGAACTGAAAGCGTAAACAAGCACCAAGGCTTCAAGCTCCTGCGTGAGGCGACTATCAACTAACGCGCATCCTCCAGCGAATTCGAGTGCTTAGTGATTTCTGAAAAGGGAGAGAAGAGGGAGCAAAAAGAAAAACCCCCATCATCATTGAAATTTGCTACCACCGGTTATGCTCCCCGCGCGGGCGAGGTGAAACGAACCGCACGACGCGCCGTCACGCCCAAATCAAAAATCCCCGCGTTGAGCTTTTGTGGGCAAAGATGGCACCAACCTTGACGGCGAGGAAGCAAGCCGTATTTAAGTCTGTTTTCCATGCCGATGTATCCCAACCGACGCCTTACTCCACCCCCTCTGTGAGGTTCGCCGAAGAGGGCCAGCCCTTTGGGGTGTTACCCACGGCCGGCGTCCCCGCCCAGCCCCGGCCGCAAGCATCCGCCGCCGGGGATGTGTCTAGTTACGCCGACGACCAAGTCCGATGGGACCGCGCATGGCACACGGTCACGTCCAAGATTCAGCTTCCGGCCTCCGTCGCCGCCGAGGACTCGTTCGGCCCCCTGGCGCGCGAGTCCCAGGATGACGACCAAGCCTTCTACGAGGCGCTCGGCGTCGTCCTCCGCCCCGAAAGTTCACCCCCAACGCCTCCCACACGGAGGACATCTTGCTTTGGCATGCGCAGCAGGTCAGGCACCACTTTATACAGCACGCCCTGCCCATGCTTTCGGCCTGCGGCGGGAATTCGAACCACGCCCAGGTGCTGCTGGGGAGCATGCACACGCTCGAGGCGGCCCATCGCCAGTACCTGTATGGCCTGCATCTCGTCCTTCGCGGCCTAGACGAAGAGCGCTCTGTCGCGGCCATGCGTAGGTTCCGCCACGATCTCCACTCCATGATTGGGAACTCCATGACGCCGAGCCTGCTCGCCGCCCTCAGGGCTGTCCTACGACACCAAATCCGCACCTCGCTCGGCGTCCCCACGAGGGGCGGGGCCAAGCTGGCGGAATCGGACGCGTCGGCCGCGCGGTCGGAGCTTGTCGGCATGGTCGAGTCCCTGCACAAGGTCGGGCTCGCGGGAGAGCGCTTCCAGGTGCTCTTCGCCGAGCTCATGGACGCTGCGATGGGGGACTTTGTCACCGCATCGTACGCGGGCCGGTGGTCCTTTGGGAAGGCTAAATCGTTTCGGCGGTCGATTCACGGCGAGCCGGGCGGTGGCTCGTACTGCACGGATCACCTGCGCGGTTGGGTGGAGAACCAGTTCTCGCGCCTCGCTGTCGAGGTGCTGGGGAGGTTGGGAGAGGGACAGGTGCCTTGGTCTGACGTGGCCAAGTGGAAGGACGTTGCCCTCGGGCGGCTGGCCACGTTGCGTACCCGGGAGCTTTACGATATTGTCTTGAGCTGGCCCAATAGCATGGACGGTTTGGAAGATCTACGCGTCACAATTACCACTCCGCAAAGGCGATTGCAGCTCACCGATACCTTTTCCGATGCTCTCCAGCGGCGCCTTCTCCACCCGGGCTGCTCGACGCTCAAGATATTACAGGTCTACATCTCAATGATTCGCACCTTTCACGCTCTCGACCACTCCAAAGTCCTCCTCGACAGGGTTGTCCACTCGCTACAGCTCTACCTATGCCAGCGCACCGACGCTATCCGCATTGTGGTGACGGGCCTCCTCTCCGATCCCGGCAAGGAAAGCGAGGAGCTCGCCGAGGGCAAGCTCGTCGAACTCGCCCGCCTCTTGAACGACCCTCGCAGAGCCGGCGCACCAATATCGAAGAGGAGGAACTAGACTGGGACGACATGGAGTGGCTCCCCGTCCCCGTCGACGCAGCGGTAAACTACAAACGTCCCAAGTCGGAGGACGTCGTCGGAACCCTCATCGGCGCCCTCGGCGCGCCAGACATCTTCATCAAGGAGTTCCAGCGCATCATGGCGGAGAGCCTCCTGTCCCAAGAGCCTCCGTTTTCCCAAGAGATCGCCGTCCTCCATCTTCTCAAGAAGCGCTTTGGCGAGAGCGCGCTCCAAAACTGCGACGTCATGCTGAAGGACATTGGCGACTCAAGACGGGTTGACGCCGCCATCGCCAAGTCTACGACGGCTGGCCCCGCCGGCCCGGGTGAGGCGCTGTACCTACCGGACTACCACGCCAAGATCCTCTCGCGCCTGTTTTGGCCCACGCTTCCCCGAGAGCACTTTTTGGTTCCGAGACCCGTCACGGAGGCGCAAAAGCGGTACGCTGCTGAGTTTGAAGGCCTAAAGTCGTTGCGAAAGCTCACCTGGATTGACAACATGGGCACCGCCACGGTAGAGCTGGAGCTCCAAGATAGACAAGTCCAAGTTGACTGCAAGACGTACCAAGCCGCAGTCATCTACGCGTTTGGTGATGAGGGAACCGGCGGCTCCGGCTCGAGTTCCCCTGCTCGGAAAACGGTCGAAGACCTCGAAGAGCAGCTGCAAATGGACAGCGACCTTATCGAGGAGTCCCTCGCTTTCTGGATGGACAAGCGTGTGCTTCGTGTCGACGGCAGCGGCGGCTACGTGGTCCTGGAGACCCTAGAGGCGGAAGGTAGCGGGCCGGCGGAGACGACTGCGAGGGGCGACCAGCCGAAATCACCGACCAAGCCTGGTCCAGCGACACCGGTTCGAAAGCCCGGTCCAGCGGCACCAGCTCGGAAGCCCGACCGCGCCATCAACGCCAAGGAGATGCAGCAGCGTCAAATTTACTGGCAATTTATCAAGTCTATGCTTACGAATTCGGCTGCCGTGATGCCGGCGGCGCAAATTGCCATGATGCTCAAGATGCTCATCGCCGATGGGTTCCCATGGAGCAGTGAGCAGCTCGTCGAGTTTCTGGGAGACAAGGTGGAGGAAGGCGATCTGGAGCTTGTGGGGGCAAATACAAGTTGGTCAAGAAGTGAAGAGGCGGGCATCGCTCTACGGGTTCGGGGCTACGGGGCTTGCAGCCACCTCGTGTGTAGGGTTATGCTTTGGACGAAGGTGGGCTGAAGGAAAGGCTTGCCATGATGGTTATGAGTTATGATATTCCGATAGACTATGGTATTCAGCTGTGATATCGCATGAGATTCTCCGCGTGTCCGAAAACGGCCATGACCCGGATAGAGACTACCTTGGCTTGGTGAAAGAGATTCGGGTTTGTGTACGAAGGAAGAGGTCTAGCCTGTGGCCTTTGATGACTTCATACTACTCCTCGTATGGTGTTTTGCCATCAATATTGATCCCTTTGAGTCTACGTTTTGCACTCCTTCTCCATTTTGCATTACAACCTTGTCTCACCTTGTCCCAACTAGGCATGGAAGAGGTCAGGTCTTGGCCATCTCCATCTTGGTACGTAAGCGGGGTTAGCAAGGGAGATTTCTTGTCACGCCGTATTTCGACTCTCGGAGCGGGCACCCAGCATGCATCATCTGACGTGAAGGTCTCTCGGGTGACTACACTCTAGAGGTGTGACTACGTTTGCCTCTTCTAGATAGACAAGGCGCGGTCAAAGTAAGGGAAAAGAAGCAAGGGGGAAAAGAAGGCGAAAAAAAAAAAAAAAAAAAAACAGGAAAGGGCCAGATAATCGGGATGGGAGAGAGGCACCGGAATAGCAGAGGGAGAGGGACACACGCCAGGATCCACTACCTTTGATGGCTTGCCTGGCCCTGAATGTGAAGAGTCTCGGTACCGGCGAGTGGGCGGAAGATGCTTTTAATACAAGGATGGGGTTAAAGTTAGTTGTTCGAGGGGTCGGTGGTGAGGTTGGTCAAAATGGGCGAGCCAGAGATGCTAGGTCCCGACCGGGACGGCTTCTTAGAGAACCAAAAGCTCGCTGGTTTTCCATGCTCATCCACTGCGGGGTCGATGGGGAAAAGGAAGGAGATGCGGTAGAGAGTTGCAGGCTTGGTGATGGTTACAGGCAATTTTAGATTAGAGCGACAAGCGGCAAGCGGCAGGTGGGCAAAGTAGGTGAGGTGGGTGAAGGGTGTAAATGCTGGGAAGACGGTGAACCTGAGACTCATAGCGCTGTGGTTGCAGGGATTGTGAAGCAAAGGATCCAGTCGAGTTCGGGTGGATGGCGGCGGTTGTGCGGCTTGCCTGGGCCAGACGGACTCGAAAACAAAAAAAAAAAAATTCCCAACAGGCCTGGCCCTGCACCACACGACACTATTAGGCATTATTCGCGAAATATTTATGGAGTCTCCGACGGTCTTGCAGTTCGGCGGCGGTCTAATGGCGGCCACATGGATCATTTGGGAGGGGATACGACCGGGCCCATCAGCCGACTTATTCGTGGATGCGGGTTTTTATACGACGGAAAATAGCTCGCAAATGGAGCACCATTAGGGCGTCGTCGGCAGGGACGATCAGCACACTAGGAATGGAGGCGACAGCAAAAGGAAGCAGTTGAGCGTGGGCGACACCGATCCTGTCAACGCCCATTTTCCATGACTCGTGCACCGAGAGAGGATCACAGGCTATGCGAGAGAAAATAGAAGCTCTTGAACGTCTCCCGGTCGTAGGTAAAATTGCAGGATATCAATAGAATATGAGGGAAAAACAAGGAGTTGACTCGAACGAGAGGTGCCCGCATCATCTGTTGTCAGTCTCGGGGCACCAGCACCGGCAACGGTTGAGATCAAATTTGGTGTCGGTTATAATTAGTGCGTTTCCCCTCCTCAGAAAGTCAAGACGCACCCAAGCACCCAAACAAGGGAATGAGCCCGAGGTCGCACTATAAACTGAGTGCCTACGATCGGCGAAAGCTAGCGAGAAAGCGCCGACCAGGACTAACGATGATTGCCCAGCCACCGCCCTTCGCACCGTCAGCAACGATCAATGGATGGTGGGACGTTGGGCGGGCCAAGGTCGCGTTATCGTCAACCGAAGGGCCAACCATGCAATATTGATGGGCCAGCACCCTTGGCTATCTTCCCAAGCGAGAGAGACAATTGTGATGGTGGGGCAGCAGACTTGCTTGCTTCTTCCACCTCCAATATTTGACCAAACCTTGAACGGTAGCCAAGGAAGCCGTCCGTCCAGAAACGGGGTCGTGGTGGTAGCTTCGGTGTGAAGGTGGAGACCATAGTTGATGGACCGACCGCCTCCCCCACCGGCCTCGAGACCCAAGGTGTCAGCTGGCTTTCAAAACGGACTTGGAAGACCATTGATCAAAATGGACGAAGCGTAAAGCAGGGCGGGGAGCAGGGGGCGGGGGTGGTTGGCCCGCCGTACAGGGAAAGGCGGGCGACTTGGTGGGCTATCGTGCTGTCATGACAAGCCGAGTGGGAAGTTGGCGAGAGCTTAGTGGTTGGCAGGATGGTGGCTCTTCAGAGGTGCCTAGGTTCAACCTGGTTGGGAGAGGAATACCAGATGCTCACCGTGCCGGGAAGATAATCTAGACGTGTGTGCCTTGGCAGTCGAGTCACCTCGTGCTCGCTTCCTGAAATGCTTTTCGTTTGCTCGCTCGCTCCAAGAGAACCAGGAGAACGGCGGGGTTTGCCTCAGGTTCCCTCATATCGGTTCTGAATTAGAACCGTTTGTGATGCATCAGCTTCAATCTTTTGATCAAGTATTCTCGACAGGCGTCGCCCGCTGTAGTACTCAAGTGCTGCTCCTGATCAATCAATCAAATTCACCAGGCGTGCACTTGAGGACAGGCAAGCATGGGGAGGCCGGCCACTAGCGGCGAGTAGCCTGGTGCGGCACACCATTCAAGGTCTACGAGACGTATTCACGGGATGGCTAGAGCATGATGCGCTGGGACGCTGCGTACGCTGGATCCATTCGAAGCTTCAGCCGTGGAAGTGCGGGGCCACCCACCGTTTTCATCACTTCAATGCCCCCCTTCCCGTCAAATCAGCTCAATCGCGATGTCACAAGTCTGCCTCCATCAGCGCCAGACTCAATAACACACTGTGCACTGCACACCTAAATTAATCTATTGGTGGGTTGTGATCGGGTGCAGTTGATGTACGAGCGCCCGAAGACCGCTTTGGGAGACAGTTGAGTACACGCCAATATTATCGACGAGGAGAAACCGGCTAGGCTAGGCAAGGAAAACGGTAGCGCATCAAGCATAGCAATGGCTGGGATCCCTATCATGAAGCCGTCTGGAGGATTGAGCCCACCTGCGGTCGCGTGAGGCCTGAAGAGAAAGGCGAGGAGGGGTTATTTCAGGGTGTCTCCGTGGAGATGGAAAACCGGTGACGCCGGCTCCGGGCATGGGGATTCCAGCCATGGTTAGTTGGTGGACTGGGATCATGGATCTATTTGCAGTTTGAGAGCAGCAAGAAACCAGCTCCGTTTTCTTCTTTTTCCTTCCGGCGTGCCCTCCCATCATTGATAACTCTCATCCTCTGCGTCTTGTCAAGTCCACATACCGTCTTGTGGTGGGGCCTACCTAGTCTACGACCCATTGATGCGATTTCCGCCGGATCCGCTGCTGACTAGAGTCTATTACTGTGGCAATCCTAGATCAGTGACGTGACACATGACTCTGTCACTTGAACCCGGGCGGGAGAGAGGAGTGCCTAGGAGAACATTCAGCTACGGAAAAAAGTTTCACAAGGAAGAGAAAAACAAAGGGAGAAAACGAGCAGGTAAAAGGGGGTTTCCCAACTTCCTTTGGCGGCTTCTTGCGAGCACTCGTCGCGTGTCGCTTCCTACCCAACTTCAGCGCACGGGGATTTACCGGAGCCGATGCGTGCTCTCCAACGCATCGTCTCAGACACAGGCCGGGGGAGAAAGGTAATGGAGGAGACATGGGCCGGAAGATCGAAGATGCGACGGAACCAGGCTTGGAACAATCCCGAGCTTCACTGCGCCTCACCTCCTCGTCCCCTACCATCACCGCAACCTTGTCCCTGACCGAGAGGAAATGTTGGAAAAAGAGATCGTGATAATCTGGACGACCAGGGTCCGTCTGGAATTTGGACGAGGTCACAGCTTCAACCCTGGCCTTTTTTTTCTTTTTTTTTTCTTCCTTTTCCTGTCTTTTCTTTCTTTTACCATCCCGTGCAATGCATTTTGCCTGGTCTGGACCCAAGGCTTTCCTCCAATGTCCCAATCCAGTCTTCTTCTTCATCCCCAGCACTCACCCAACCCACTTGTTCACCCGGGACCGTGCCCTTCCCACAGAGGCTGCCGCTTAAATTCGTCCGGCCCCGGAGAGTGATCACCGCAAGGGTCTCGGTCGCAACTGCACGGGCGAATCACGCGTTGAGCTGAATCGTTGTTCGAGGACCCATTTTCGATGGGGAGTGTCCGGCCAATGAGTTGGTCGCATTCGTCCGGCCTTAAATGGAGGGAGGCTGGATGATAACCAGGAAAGGGTTGATCAGGAACGTTTGGAAGGTTAAGAAAAAATTATTGAGGGGAGGGGGGCCGGCCGTCAGGTTAATATAATCTAGTCTATCCTGGAGCGACCCTTGCTGCACATGCAGTGGATGGTATAGCAGAAAGAACCCGGTATTATGAGCGAGAACCAATGTCACCCCTTCCATTGGCATGTTACAGGTGCACATATATCCATGGATGGCTCAATCCATCAAACCTCGATAATATAGTATCGTGGGTATGTACTGTCTTGAGGCGTATGGAAGCGATTCGACTGAGTGGGTAGAGGAAAGCGACGGGGGTTACAAAAAGTATCAGACAGGTAAGATCCATATACATCAAATTGACTAAGGGCGACTGGCGGACTTTGAAAACCTCGTCCCAACGGATGACAATGTATGACACGCACAGCATCGTGAACCCAGTCTTGGCCAGACTGTTGCCATGATTCGACGAAACCTACACTTGTCAGTCGTCATCTTGACTACTCAAAAACCAACTTGGCCCCGTCAAGGGTAGCATGAGGGGAGGAGAAACGAGCATGGCACATATTGATATGTAGGCAGGGACGCGGATAGCTGCAAGGCAACATTGTCAATTGGATGGTTGATGTCAGCGTGGCCGCGGGAACCGAAGATGAGGAGTTGCTGGTGCCCAAGGCACCTTGACGA